TTTTCCAAAATCAAAATAGTGGAAAAGCTCAGACAAATCTGGGTTTGATTCTAGACTTTACTTGTTTTCTGGACTTCGGGCAAGTTACTTCAACTCTCTGAACCTTGGTTTCTTCCGTGACAGCCAGGAGGTTTTGGAAAAGGGGAGGGCAGGGATCTGATGCCTGCTTTAAAACAATCTTTCTTGCAGCTGTGGGGGGAGGGGTCATGGGGAGAGGAAGGTCTGGAGAGGAGAAACCAGAGGCTGCTGAATAGAAGTGTTTCCAATTACCATCAGACTGGCCTTGGCAGCGCACTCTCCACTGTGACCTCAAAGCCAACCTCATGCTGTTGCCTAGCAACTCACCTGCATCACCCAGAGATCTGAAGCTGGGGCCCCACTGAGGATGGAGAAATGACCAGTTAATTACAAAGGCTCAGGGGATTCATACATCAGTTCATTCCTTAAATCCTCACTGGGCTCCCACCAACGACCAGGCCCCATGCTAGATACCAGGGACTTAGAGATAAATAAAATCCTATCTCATTCCTCAGAGAACTCACAGTGTAGCAGGATGGACAGATTTCTTCATTCATACAAGAAATATGTATTGGATGTCCATCAATAGTACAATGGCTAAACAAGTTGTAGCATATTCGCACAATTTAATAGTATACATATGGCATGACAATGAACAATCTACAATTACACACAAAAATATGGAATATTGATGAGTGAAACATATAAGTGAAAGAAGCCAAATAGAAAAGAGTACATTCTGTATGATTCCATTTAGATAAAGCACAAAAACAGGCCAAATTAATCTATGCTTTCAGAAATCAGGACTGGGGGCTTGACTGGAAATAGCACGAGGAGGCCTTCTGGAGTCCTGGAAATATTCTGTTTATAAATCTGGGGGCAGGCCAGGCGCAGTGGCTCACGTCGGTAATCCCAGCACTTTGAGAGGCCTAGGTGGGTGGATTTGCTTGAGCCCAGGAGTTAGAGACCAGTCTAGGCAATATGGCAAAATCCTGTCTCTACAAAATATACAAAAATAAGCCCTGTGTGGTGGCATGTACCCGTAGTCCCAGGGACTGGGGAGTTGGGGGGCTGAGGCCGGAGGATCACTTGAACCCAGGAGGTTGAGGCTGCAGTGAGACATGATCACACCACTGCACTACAGCCTGGGTGTCAAAGCGAGATCCTGTCTCAAAAAAAATATTGGGGGGGTGCATGTTACATGATGTGTTCACTTTGTAAAGTTTATCAAAGCCATATGCTTACAATATTATAACTTTGCTGTATGCATATTATATGTCAATACAAAGTTTTTTAAAAGTGATATTTTTGAATACATATGCTGAGTATTAGGCAAACAGAAATTTACAATGCATGGTAAACACACAGGGGTGTGGGGGCACAAAGAAAGGACTCCTCATCAGGGCCAGGAGCAGTGGCTCATGCCTGTAATCTCAGCACCTTGGGAGGCTGAGGCGGCCAGATCACCTGAGGTCAGGAGTTCGAGACCAGCCTGGCCAACATGGCAAAACCCTGTCTCTACTAAAAATACAAAAAAATTAGCTGGGCATGGTGGCATGTGCCTGTAGTCCCAGCTACTTGGGGAGGCTGAAGCAGGAGAATCGTTTGAACCCAGGAGGCAGAGGTTGCGGTGAGCCAAGATTGTGCAACTGCACTCCAGCCAGGGTGACAGAGGGTGACTCTGTCTAAATTAAAAAAAAAAAAAAGCTGTCCCAGGAGTCCAGGTTAGAGAAGCCATGGCCCAAAGGAAGGTAGAGGCCAAAGAGAGGAGGAAGAGATTTTTAGAAATAAATTTCAGAATTTATGTGTTTTCCTTTTATACATATTAATAGAAAAAAAATCCACAAGAAAGCATGGCTTATTATATTTTATTTTTCAGCTTTAGGTACAGAAAATTGAAGTAAATGTATTTTTCTCAATTCATAGCACACTGTATTCTTTGGCCTCGAAGGCCTCTTTCTTTTTTTACCCTCCTCTCATCTTTTTTTTTTTTTTTTTTTCAAGAGATGAGGTCTTGCTCTATCACCCAGACTAGAAGACTGTGGCCATAACTCACTGCAGCTTTGAATTCCCAGGGACAAGTGATTTTCCTGCCTCAGCCTCCCAAGTAGCTGGGATTACAGGCATGTGTCACCACACCTGGCTAAAATTTTTTTTTTTTTTGAGACGGAGTCTCGCTCTCTGTCACCCAGGCTGAAATGCAGTGGTGCGATCAGGGCTCACTGCAACCTCGGCATTCTGGGTTCAAGTGATTTTCCTGCTTCAGCCCCGAGTAGCTGAGACTACAGGCGTGTGCCACTATGCCCAGTTAATTTTTTATATTTTTAGTAGAGATGGGGACCAGGATGGTCTTGATCTCCTGACCTAGTGATCTGCCCATCTCAGCCTCCCAAAGGCATGAGCCACTCCACCCAGCCCTGGCTAAATTTTTAAAAATGCTTTGTATAGATTCATTCTCACTATGTTGCCCAGGCTGGTCTCAAACTCTTGGCCTCAAGTGATCTTCCTGCCTTGGACCCACCAAAGCACTAGAATTATAGGCATGAGCCACTGCACTGGGCCCAACTTATACCCTTTCATTCCCTTTCCTCTCCCTATCCCTATAGACAACTCTCCTAATGTGTTTACTGTGTACCCAATTATATTGTTCTTGCAAAATATGCATTTTCATTCTGTGTGCACATATTTTACATTTATATAAATGGTACCAGGTTATATATATCATTCTGTATTTTACTTTTGCACGCCACACTATATTTTTCACAATCTATCCCTGCTGCTATGAGTATCTTTAGTTTGTTGCTTCTACTGCTCCCCAGGATTACAGCATTGGATTGACAATACAATGCTACTATTGTATTTGACAATCTAAAGTGCTTTACCATGGAGTGGGGAGATTTCAATGGTAACCTCTGTCTCTCTTGGGTTTGAGTCCCTTCCCCTATTCGGGTCTCAGATTCCCCATCTGTAAAATCAGACTTGTCTTCTACTTCTAATCTTCCATGTAACTTCCCTTATTTTACACACAGGAAAATTTGGTCCAGAGAGTGGGAGTGACTTGATCAAGGTCACACAACAGTTATCAACAGTTCAATTCAATTTAGCCCACATTTATTGAGTGCCAGGCATGGTGCTAAGTGCTTTAAATACTTAAATAACTAAGCCCTGCTGAGTCCTTCCCTGCTAGGGCCTCTAAACAGAGCTGTGTTAATTTTCCAAGAGCAGGTGCAGAGATAGCCTGTGGGCACCAGTCAAATGCAGTAAAGATATTAATAGGATGTAGCCTTAGATAGAATCTAAGACAGCACCTCCACCACTTTAATCAGGCCCCAAAATATTCCTGGCCTCAAGAAAAGAAGTTGGGTACACTGTTTCCTATTTGTAAATCTTATTTATTGCCATAGCATTTACCAATAATTACTGGTCTAATATAGTAAGATAAATCACCCTTGTCTATCTACATGCATAATATTACACAGCAGGAACTATGGCATGAATAAAATTTTATATTCTACTTTTTAAAAATGTTTGTTGTTGCACCATATTAACAGCTACTGTTGATAATTTACTCTTGCTGGACATCAAGCACTTTACATATGATAGCTCATCTAATCTTCATTTCTATGCTATGGGGTAGAAGGGACTATTATTACCCACATTTTATGTATGTATGTATTTTTGTGTGTGTGGAACATTCAACTGACATGTATTTATGTATTTTTGAGATGGAGTCTCGCTTTCTGTCACCCAGGCTGGAGTGCAATGGTGCGATCTCGGCTCACCGCAACCTCCGCCTCCCAGGTTCAAGCGATTCTCCTGTCTCAGCCTCCAGAGTAGCTGGGATTACAGGTGCACACCGCCATGCCCAGCTAAATTTTTTTGTATTTTAGTAGAGATGGGGTTTCACCATGGTGCCCAAGTTGGTCTCGAACTCCTGAGCTCAGGCAATCCCACCTACTTCAGCCTCCCAAAGTGCTGCGAATCCACATTTTAAAGATAACAAAACAGAAGCATAGTAATATTATTTGTCCTAGGTCAGTGAATTTCAAGCACTTTGAATGAAACCCACAGAAGTATAGTTTACATTGCATCCTGGATCACTCGTGTGTGTTTCACAATACTACACTAACCCTTACTGCATAGAACATTCTCTGACTTTTTCTATTCAATTTTTTTCCATGCTAGTCTGAACTACTAAGTTGATTCTATGACTTACTAATGGTTGCAACTCTGTTCGAAAAACAATGCCCTCAATAATATACATACCACAATCATAACAAAATTACACAAAAATTAAAATCATAATAATCTTTAACGTGAGCTTGCATGTCCTGAGCACCCACCCTGTACAAGGTCCCACGCTGCAGGTACTGACAGGTTTGAGTCAAACATGGTCCTGCTACAAATTCCTCAAAATAACATTCAGGTGGATAGGCAATAACATCACAGCAGTGATTGTCAATCCTGGCTGCATCTTAAAATCACCTGGGGTATTTTTAAAATACATAGTGCTGGGACCCTATCCCCAGACTTCTTGATTTAGTTGATCTGAAGTGGAGCCTGGACATTAGCATTTTTTAAAAGCTCCCCAAGTGATTCTAAGGTGCGGCCAGTATTGTGGATCATTGCAATATAGCATGATAAGTGCTAAGTTAAATGAAAGCATAAATTGGGCTCAATGGCTGGTGTCTGTAATCTCAGTTACTTGGGAGGCCAAGACAGGCCAGGAGTTCAAGACCAGTCTTGGCAACATAGTGAGACTCCCATCTCTGAAAATATAGAAAAAAACTTAGCGGGGTGTTGTGGCCCATTCCTGTAGTCCTAGCTACTCAGGAGGCTGTGGCAGGAAGATTGGTTGAGCCCAGGAGTTGGTGGCAGCAGTGAGCTACGATCACACTACTGCAGCCCAGGTGACAGAGTGAAACACTGTCTCTAAGAAATAAAAAATAGCCGGGGGGGGGGGTGACATTCAGCCAGCCGTTTGGGATGACGGACTTTCCATCCCAGAACCATGGCCCAATTTATCTGTAACCTTGTGGAGAAGACCCCGGCGCTGGTGAACGCTGCTGTGACTTATTCGAAGCCTCAGCTGGCCACATTTTGGTACTATGCCAAGGTTGAGCTGATTCCTCCCACCCCTGCTGAGATCCCTAGAGCTATTCAGAGCCTGAAAGAAATAGTCAATAGTGCTCAGACCGGTAGCTTCAAACAACTCACAGTTAAGGAAGCTGTGCTGAATGGTTTGGTGGCCACTGAGGTGTTGATGTGGTTTTATGTAGGAGAGATCATAAGCAAGCGTGGCATCATTGGCTATGATGTTTGAAGACCAATCTTTAACATCTGGTTATATTTTATTTATTTGGACCACGTGTGATCAGACTGCTATCTGAATAAAATGTGTTAAAAAAAATAAATAAATAAATAAATAATAAGAAAAGGAAAGCATAGAATGGGGGCAACTACCTACCTAAATAAAGGTGTTGAGAAAAGCCTCAGAGAAAAGCTGGTTACTGAGTTGGGTTTCTGTGCTGGACACCTTCTGTCTGACTCTTTGGATCCACTGTCCACCCTACTGTCTGCTCAGTACACTGAATCTGTACAGCTGACATCAATGGGCTCCTTTGCTCCCTGGCTTCCACTCAGGTACTGGCCAACATTCCTGAAGGAGACTGGTGAGAAAGAGGAGATGAATTAACTCCCTGGCTCCTTCCCTGCAAATTTTCCTTGGGCTGGTTGTGATTCTCCTTTAAACGTAACAGCCTCTGGGAGACTGAGACATGAAAATCACTTGAACCTGGAGGTGGAGGTTGCAAAGTGCTGAGATTGCACCGTTGCACTACAGCCTGTCTCAAGAAAGACTGTCTCAAAAAAGGAACACCCCTTTCAAGATGGTTTGGTGTACAGGACTCTTTTTCCAGTTTCCATAATCTCTCCTCCCTCTTCCCATCCATTCAGGTCAAGGGATGTAAACAGTTCAGATAGGTTCCTGAACTATCCCTGTCTTCTCCTACACCCCATCCATATATTGGAAATTAGTCCTTTTGTAAATGAACCTTCCTCACATTGCCCTAATCTGAGTGTGTCATCTGTTTTCTACTGAGGCCCTGACTGATAAAACCTGGAAGCCCTATAGGAATTTGCTGTAAGCACAAGGAAGGGAAAACAATATATGCAGGGGGAGCAGCATGAGGAACGGTAAAGAGGCATGGAAATGTGATTTTGTTTGTTTAATTTCCTTTATTGGTTGAAGGTTAAATTGCTAAATCCCATATTCAGGTCTCAGCCTTAATCTTCCTAGATTTATCAACAGGATTTTACTAGTTAATCACTCTCTTCATCCTGGAACAAATTCATCAGTTGGCCTCCAAGACATCACATTGTTTTGGGTTTTTTGGTCCTTCTGGTTACTCTTTTTCAGTGTCCTTTTTCTGGCTCCCTTGTGTCTTCATCTCCTTGGTGCTCAATGATGGAGTTCCAAGGGCTGTCCTTGATTCTCCTTTCTCTCTATTACAACTCACCATTATCATCCAGTACCACGGCTTTAAATACCCAGGCTGGAGTGCAATGGCGCGATCCTGGTTCACTGCAACCTCTGCCTCCCAGGTTCAAGCAATTCTCCTGCCTCAGCCTCTTGAGTAGCTGGGATTACAGGCGTGTGCCATCATGACCAGCTAATTTTTCTATTTTTAGTAGAGACAGGGTTTCACCAAGTTGGCAAGGCTGGTCTCAAATGCCTGACCTCAGGTGATCTGCCCGCCTTGGCCTCTCAAAGTGCTGGGATTACAGGCGAGCCACCACGCCCGGCCTTATTTTTATTTATTTATTGAGACAGAGTCTTGCTCTGTTGTCAGGCTGGAGTGCAGTGGCATGATCTCGGCTCACTGCAACCTCCACCTCCTGGATTCAAGTGATTCTCCTGCCTCTGCTTCCTGAGTAGCTGGGATTACAGGCACGTACCACCATGCCCAGCTAAGTTTTGTATATTTAGCAGAGATGGGTTTCACCATGTTGGCCAGGCTGGTCTTGAACTCCTGACCTTGTGATCCACCTGCCTCGGCCTCCCAAAGTGCTGGGATTACAGGCGTGAGCCACTGTGCCCAGCCATTTTTAAATTTTTTTAAGAGACAGTTCTTGTTATGTTACCCAGGCTGGTCTTGAACTCTTGGTCTCAAGCAATCCTCCTGCCTTGGCTTCCCAAGGGACTGGGATTTCAGGTGTGAGCCACCAGGCCCAGTTGAAAGAGATTTTTCTACAACATAAGACTCACTGTGATACTTCCCTGCTAAAAAGTACCTTTATGTCTTGGTTTAAAGACCACAATCTTCACTGTGGCCTGCTAGGCTCTGTGTGATCTCATTCCTCTCTGCCTCTCCACCTTCCCCTCTCATCCTTTGTCCTCTCTGTTCCAACCAAACGAGCCTTCTTTGTTACTCAGTGCACCATGTTCCTCTCCCCTTCAGAAACTTTGCACTTGTACTTTGCTTCGTCCTGGCCAATTTCTACTCATTCTTCAGAGCTCCCTTTTTCTGGAAAGCCCTTCTTGGCCCTCCAGGTTAGGTTGGGTGGTACTAACCACAATAGTAATTTTAGAGCTATTTATAAATTATTTAATTCCTGTGTCTCCCTGAATAGGGACTATGCCCGTCCTGTTCATCCCTGCATTAAGAGACACCTAAAATAAAACTTGGCATAGAACAGGTGGTCAAGAAGTGTTTGTTGAATGACCACAAGAGTGCTTAGCCCTTACCACATTACATGAAATCTGCAGTTTACCTAGTTTCTCTCATATCAGCCTGTGAGATTCTGGAAAACTAGTACAGGATCCAGCCCCATGCTTGACACTGCACGGGCTCAGCAGGGGTGTTCTGAGCAGGGGAGATATGTGCTGCCCAGATCCCCCATCACTGAGGACTTAGGACAGGCACTGGCTACCATGAGTGCTGTCAGCACAAAAAATGTTTCTCCATAGACAGGGCCATCTTGGCCCTTGTCTCACCCCTTGCAGGTAGCCCCACATCCAAAGACTGGTAAAGGCAGGGTATAAAGACCTGACCATTGGCCAGGCGGTGTCTCACGCCTGTAATCCCAGCACTTTGGGAGGCCAAGGAGGGTAGATCACAAGGTCAGGAGATCAAGACCATCCTGGCCAACATGGTAAAACCCTATCTCTACTAAAAATACAAAAATTAGCTGGGCTTGGTGGTGAGCACCTGTAATCCCAGCTACTCAGGAGGCTGAGGCAGGAGAATCGCTTGAACCCGGGGAGGCAGAGCTTGTAGCAAGCCGAGATTGTGCCACTGCACTCCAGCCTGGCCACAGAGCAAGACTCTGTCTCAAAAAGAACCACAGCTGGGCATGGTGGCTCACACCTGTACCCAGCACTTTGGGAGGCCAAGGCGGGCAAATCACGAGGTCAAGAGATCGAGACCATCCCGGCCAACATAGTGAAACCGTGTCTCCACTAAAATACGAAAATTAGCTGGACGTGGTGGCGCGCACCTGTAGTCCCAGCTACTCGGGAGGCTGAGGCAGGAGAATTGCTTGAACCCGGGAGGTGGATGTTGCAGTGAGCCGAGATCACACCGCTGCACTCCAGCCTGGCGCCTGGCAACAAAGCAAGACTCTGTCTTAAAAAAACAAACAAACAAACAAAAACAAACACCAAAAAACAAAAACAAATAAACAAAAAAGACTTGACCATCTTAGCTCAACTGATGGACCACTCTAGCCCCAGAGTCCCTGTAGCGTCAGCTAAGACTGTCTTGGGGCCTGCATGGAGCTCACTACTTTCCCCTTTTGCCACTCCTGTTCCCTCCCTTCCTTCCCATGTGCATTCCCATGCGTATTGCCCCCTCATCAACATCCTACACTCCAATCTCCATCTCAGAACCTGCTTCCTGAGGACCTAACCTTCAACAGGCCTTCAGTCCTCTCTTCCCCTTCTCTCAGCCATCATTTTCAGGGAACATTCATTCATTCACCTGAAGTTTGGAGGCACCATTCAACTGTTAAAGTGTTTCGTATCCGTTTTTCTATTACTTCTATCCTATACTGATTAGGTGGATCAGGAAGGGAGATTAGCCCCACTAAACGTGGAGAAATTGAGGCCGGACTGATGGCGTGACCAGACCAGCCTAAGGCCGCTGCACGAATGAAAAGCTGAGCTCTCAGACAGATTTTTGTCTCCCTGTCCCTGCCAAGTCTCTGCATCCTGGGACAAGAGGGAGGCTCACTGAAACGAACTCTGGTCTCAGGGGACAGAATCCTGAAACCCTGGCTCTGAGGTCCGGTACAGGAGGGCGCTGCCCCAGGACAGACGGGGAAACTGAGGCCCAGAGCCAATCATCCACCGCCTGCGGAGAACGAGAAGGAGGTGCGTCCTGCCTCGCGGGCCGAGCGGCGCCGTTGCTGCCTCCTCCCACCCCTCGCGCAGGGTCTGCCCGCCCCGTCTTAGCCCTCGCGACGTCGCCACCCCGGGAGCGAGCCATGGTGGTGGTGGCGACGGCGGCGGCGTGGCTGCTCCTGTGGGCCGCGGCCTGCGCGCAGCGGGAGCAAGACTTCTACGACTTCAAGGCGGTCAACATCCGGGGCAAACTGGTGTCGCTGGAGAAGTACCGCGGCTCGGTGAGTGCGCGGGGTCTGGCGGCGTCGCGCGGCCCAGCCTCACCCTGGTGGGGCCTGCGGGGCGTGGAGGGGGGGGGGTTACAGCCCGGACCCCTGAGCCGGGTGGCTCCGAGGCCGCCCCGGCCGCGCGGCCGCCAGACCCCGGCCCCCGCCCCACTCAGCTGTGACCCCCGGCACGGCGCTCCCATCCCGCGCCCGGCCCGCCCCGCGGCTACGTGGCACGGCCCTGGCGCGGAGGAACCCGAAACGCTCGCAGTCCTAGCCCACTTCGCTACGGGCACTTTTGGGCAGCGGAGTCCACACCTTCGCCGGGAGGCCGGGTACCACTGCCCAGCCTTTGCCACTCACGGGTGGAAAAAGTAACTGTAGCATCTTACGGCCTTGCTCTCTGCCGTCCCCACTTTCCGCATCTGGAACGGGGAGTGGCTGATTCGGAGTCCGGTGAGGAACACTGTGGAGATGGATGTGCAGGGCAGAAGGAGTCATTTCAAATGCACGGAGACCTCAGGCGGATCATCCTTGGGAGAGGGCACAAAGGCCAGGAGAGGGCACAAAGGCCCGGAGAGGGCAGGCATTCGCAGGAGGTCACACTACACCAGAAAGACGGAGCCTGGAAGAGAACTCCACCGCCACTGCCCTCCATCCGGAGTCCTCTCCAGGCCAAGTCCTTACTTAGATGGCAGCTGAGAGGGAGAGATTGAAGAGTCATCTAGGCTAATTGACCCCTCCTTACCA